TGTACCTCCTCACCGCCAGTGTACTACAATGTGATGGAATGTGTGACTGTTTCCATCACTACCCCCAATAATATCTAAATTAAACAAGCTGGATATGGCGGCGCATGCCTGTAATCCCAGCACCAGGGAGGCTGACAAAGAGAATTACCAGGAGTTCGAGGCCAGCCTATGCTCACAGTGAGTTCAAGGCCATTCAAGGCAGGCTGTACCACAAAGCAAGACCCTGTTTCAAAAAAACAAAAAAATAAAGCCAGGTGTGGCGATGCATAACTGTAATCCCAACACTCAGGAAGCTGAGGCAGGAGGATCATTGTGAGTTTGAGGCCAGCCTGAAGTACATATACATAGTGAGATCCTGTTTCAAAAAGACAAAAAAAAAAAACCCCAAAACCCAAAGAAACACCAACAAAATGAACAAAAAGTTAACCTGGAAAAAAGTCCACTATTGTAAAATTAGATTCACTTTTACAGCCTTAAAATGATGTGTTATTACTAACACAGGCAAGAAAATTCCATGTTATCATCACATGCAAGCACTGACTTTAGTACCTGCTCATTAAATGAGTATTAATGGTTTATAATTGAAACCATAAAGCTATTTGCAACATAATGCAGGAAAGACTAAATATTTCTATTTAAAATCTTTGATTACATGTGTAAATTATTTCCCTTCACCCTGAACATACCAGTTAACTCACTAACACTTTATACAATACCAACTAAAATGGTTTAAGTTTACAAATGTATCAAAGTAGACCTATAAGAAATCATGATTTTTTAAAACTTGGTATCAACTCTAAAGGAGCTCCATTTTTGATGTCCTGCTCCTCAATCTTGTCAAAATCTGACGCACATTTGTGTCACAATTTCAATAAAATTCTACTGTAGAAAAGAGAACCTAGAATGATTCAGTTTAGTTACTGGGAATTGTGTAAGGTGTAGGAATGCAAGACAATTTCTGTGCAAAGAGACTCAACAGAATGGATGAAACATTAAAGTGTATATGCAGTAAGATACAATGGAGGAAGAGATTAAGCAGCTTGGGAGGTAAGCGCTATCTTAATACTATCTTAGTACAGGCTTTGAAGAACAATTAGGAAAGTAAGGAAAACAAATCAGGATAGGGCAAGTGAGAGTACAGCTCCAAAGACACTGCCCCCAGCTATGCAGTTCAACAGCCTATACTGATGGCCACAAGAGTCCTGAGTCAATGAAAACATACTGTAAAGATGACACAGCACAAAAATGAATTTGGTGACCGCCTTAAAGATTTTATATTTTTAAAGTACAGCATTAGAAGTAATATAGAAATAAAGAGAAATGCCAGAAAGACAGAGACAGGATTTTCAGAGCTTTGCCATTCAAATTTACCATTCTCCTGCCTCAGTCTCCCAAGTAGACAACATTATAGGCATGTTGCACTGAGCCTATCCAACCTTGAAGAATGGAAAGAGTGTTACTGACACTGTCTACTTATATTCCATATTCTTTTCACTTTCTGGTGATACCAACGGAGAGACGAAGGTGTGAAGATGGGCCTAGGCACTTGCTATTTTCTTTTCAGTTCACAGGATTCTCCTGGGTACTTGTTTTAAAGGTTTACAGGCTTATTCTGTAGGGTTTTTTAGACAGGTAATTGTATCATTTACATATAATGTCTTCCTTTCTCATTTTCATGCCACTTGTCCTGGTTTACATCTAAAATGTCCCTTAAAAGTCTAATTGAAGGACTGAGGGTTTAGCTCAGCAGCATAAGTGCCTGCCTGGTAAGAGCAAGGTTGTGAGTTCAATCCCTGGTTACCCCTCCCCCAAAAGTCTAATTGAATCATGGGGGTGCTGAGTGTGCAGCTAGGAGATGGTGTTTGGGAGGTACAGGCAAGTCACTGGGGATGTGACACAGAAGAGAATATTCTTGTCCTAGTCCTCCCTCTGCCTCCTGGTCAGATATTCACTAAAGCTTCTGAAAACATGAGCTGAAATAAACTTTTCCTTTAAGTTGCCAGTAATATGTATTTTGTCCCAGTAATGAGGAAGTGACTAACACTCCACTGATTTATCGTATTTTTATTTACTGCAACATTCAACACATCCAAATGGTATTGCTAGCCATTTATCTCTGCTGGATTTTGCCATGTTACCCAGGGTGGCCTTGAACTCCTGGGCTCCAGTGACCCTTGTCTGATCTAACCAGGGTGTGCTTCTAATATTTCAATGTTAAATGTAATTTTGCTGTAGAGTATTAGTTGCTACCATGTAGCAAACAATTTTACAGTAAAAAACAAACCTAAGTGCACAATTTTATGTATACAACTGGCATTTTTATGGTGCAAATGAAAAATTTCCTCCAGTGATGATCTTTTCTATTCCTATGAGAAGCAGTATCATACCATTCATTTCACCAAATTATTTCACTTACATATTTAACAGCTAAGTTTATAATAAAATGGTTTTCTCAAGCTACTTTTGTCAAATTTGGGACCAGGTTGCCCACACATGGCTAAGATGCAATAATTATGCCCTATCTTTTTCTACATACTTAGATAATTTTCAATACATACTGGCAGATCCTCGGAGGTTTATGACACTGAACTTTCCCACAAAATCATCTAGCACCTTTTGATATAGTGGTGCTATAATCCGAGCACTCGAGAGGCTGAAGCAGAAGGATTCCTATGAGTTCAAGGCTAGTAGACTATATAAATGAATTCAAGGCCAGCCTGTAACCACATGAGTTCTTGTCTCAAAAAAAAAAACCTCTTTTATATATATATATATACTACAGTTTTTTTTCTACTTTGGAGTATTTTAGTAAATTTCTATTTTTAAGCTGTCAAATTTGAGAAAACTGGCACACAGCACTCATTTATAATTGTGGAACACTTTTTCTATCTTTTTACTTATCCTTATTCTTTCCCCCAATTCCCCTTCCTCCTCTATGTGAAGTTCCATCCCCTTGTTTCTTTATATCTTTTATTCTGTTCTTTATTTATACTTTGGGTTTCTCAAGTAAGAGAAACCATGCAATATTTAAGCTTGTATATTTGATTTATTTCACTTAACATTATAGTCCCAAGATATATTCATTTTCCTACAAACGACTCAACTTTCTCTCTTTTTTTTTTTTTTTGGTGATACCAAGGATCAAACTCATGACCTTGCGCTTGCCAAGCAGGCACTTATGCCACTGAGCTAAATCCCCAGCCCCTAACTTTATCTCTCTTTATGGCAGATTAGTATTCATTGTATGGCAATACATTTTTTAAAAAAATTCATTCATCTGCTTATGGATATTCAGGCCTCTTTCAAGATATAACTATTACAAATTATGCTGCTATATAAACATGGGTATGCATGTATCACTGTACTACGATATCTTTAACTCTTTGGGAAGTGTGGCTAGAAGAGGAATAGCTGGGTCAAATGGAATTTCTAGTTTTCAGTTTTTTTGAGAAGTCTCCATTCTGATGTCTATGGTGGTTTGACTAATTTACATTCCCACCAACGGATCAATAGCTTTTCTAAATTATCAACTATTGTACATATGCCTACAAAAGCCATACCTAAAACCAAATAACCTAGGAAGACTGAGTATTTTTAAAATGGAAAATATTTGGATAAAATCAAGTGCTCAAGGAAAACAGAAGTGTGGCAGTGCTAATATCAGATAACAGAGAATACAGTGTGAAAATGAGGAAAAAGAAAACGACGCTGCACACTGATGGGGAGAAGAGACAGTATGGTGCAGGCCTCTGTGGGTACTCAGCAAGTGTTCTACTACTGAGCTCATTAGCAGCACTGCATAATGATTGTGGGGGGGAGTTCTTTTTGAGGCAGGGTTTCATTATGCAGTTCAGGCTGGTCTTGAACTCACTTTATAGTGAGTTCAGTGATACAGTGATCCTCCTGCCTCAGCCTCCTGCCTCAGCCTCAGATTCATACTCCTAAGTGCTGGGATTACAGGCATGCACCACCATACCTAGCTTGAGACTGTGACTGGCTACATAATTCAGACTGACTTGAAATTCACTATGTAGCCCAGGTTTGGCTTGAACTTGTGGAGACCCTCCTGCCATAAGTTTTAATTTTCCTATCCATTAAATGGAGATAGTAGTTTCTAGTCCCATAAAACTATCAGAGGGATAAAATCAAATACCACCGTATACAGAATACTCAATGGTTTATGGTTATTACTGTTACTGGTCCATTATATCACAGGAAGGGTACAACGTATGTGAATAGGTTAATATTCTTGGCATTAATATGCTTTATAAAGCAATCTCTGAACCTTAACATCAAATATACAGTATTTGCCATTTATTTCTCACAAATAAATCTGAGTTCTGAGTTCCAAAAACTAATCTTTTATTATAATTAAGATTGTTAGTGGAATAAGGTTGTTACACAATGAAAAGATGATTAAGGACAGCATAAATATTAACAATCTCCACCATCTTTCTCCTTCTGAACTAGAAAGATTTTCAAAAGGAGAAACATGTGAACTATCTAAACAAAATACAATCCAGCCCTGAAACTGGCTCAAATCACTTTGTTTGGTGCCCAAGAACCCTGAGCAGCTTCTCAATTTTGTTTTCACTGATATATATATATATATATATATATATATATATATATACCTAATATATATTTAAAGGCAGGTAAAACAAGAAATCTTTTTAAATAATTAATGAACAATCTTACTTGTATGCTCTAAAACTGTACCTACTGCTTCTTAACCTAAATTTAGTTTTCGGTATTCAAGTGGATGTGTGTCCAAGAAGCTGAAGCACAGCACCCACTTCCCCTGTGAAATCAAATGAGAAACATTAAGCCTGATTCCCCACCACTAAGTTCATCACAAAACCTACAATAAAGAATACAGAAACTTAAAGTAGTTATTACTTAGCACATTGCTTTATTCAGACACATACATACTCTCTCACACATCCTTTACTTGCTTTGTACACTCTCAGTTCAACAAACTTTATTATATAGTTTCTTACCTTTCCATTAGCTTCTCTTTATCCCAATTGAAGTGGCTAAGGAGTATTCTTGTGATAGTTGCTGGGTTCTAAAGGAGAACAAAAACAGTTGTCTTAAGGTAATTTGATTTCACGGACATTTAATGAGCTTCTAGGTTGAATTTAAGTTTCCATAATAATCCACCCAATTTCCTTTCCTAGAACATTTCTTTATTCCCTCAAATACACAAAATTTTCCTTGTAAGATCAGAATTATTTAAAGTTTGTCATACTAATGTGTATAGGATTCAAATAATCCAAAAGTATCAAATGACAAACTAGTAACAAAAAATTACTGAAATAAATCAAGCACTAACTATAATTAATTTTTCAGAAATAAGATTTAACTGATGGCAAAAGAAAATTAACACTGGTGCATCAGCCCACTAAACGTAATCAATAAAATTTGTAAGATTTTATGTCACAAACAGTTCCAATGAGTTCAAACCACATTTAATTATAGACACATCTATAGATATTTCACCAAAATGACAAAGCACCTGTACTGTGTAATAACATGAAGTTTTACTCATCTTAGGTTGCTACTTCATTTAGAAAGGAAGAGAAGGAAAAGCTAATACTAGGAAATAAATCCAGAATATACTGCTCTATCACTCAATGCTGTCACAAATATCCCCAAATCCCATAAAATTCACGAGCTTACTATTTGGACACAGAAGTTTAACTAACAAGGCAACAGGACGTAAAAGATTAGCAAACCCTGACTCAGTCAAAGATACTTGTGTGAATAACAATGTTGGAAGTGGAACTCAAATCTAGATCTGTTTCGTTCATTTATATTTCACGATTAACGTTACCACATCAAAAAGTATCTCTAGATGTGCTTGCTTCTAAAGCACATATACAGAAAAGGTCTCTAGAGAGTTAGGAATGAAGCTCAGTAGTATACTACTTTCCTAGCATATCTGAAGTCCTCAGGTTTGATCCCCAGCACCATGACCACCACCACCACCACCAAAAAAAAAAAAAAAAAAAAAAAAAAAAGTGATCAAGTGAAGTAATAGGTCTTGGGAACTAGAGTGGAAGCAAGGAATCAGAGGAGGAAGGAGAAGGGTAGAATGTGCAGAGACAGAAGGAGGATCCTGAAAAACTGCTGCTTCCTGGAGTATGTAAAGGAAGGCCCGTCCCAGGTGGGGAAGGGGGCCCTGGAGAACCACTAGCAGTGAACAAGAGGGCAACTGAAGGGTGCTGTCATGTGAGGACACAAAGGCTGGCTGTCAACTCCCACTACCAACACTGAAAGATCTAACTGTAGGTCCCAAGAATGCTGACAAAATGAATGTAAGCCAAGCAGAAGAGGATGTGAGGAGAAAGGAGACAAGACTTACACTCAAACACAAGTTATTCTGGACTTTTGTGAGGTGATGGGCTGAGGATGCAAGAGCCATGGGCCCTGACAGTCCTCAGCTAGCAGAACAAGTCCCATTTGGTCAGCAGGGCAGGGCACTGAAGTGGATGGCCCCACTCTCATTTTAGAATTGGGACAATCCATCTTCCAAGGGTTCTTGAAGCCCACAGTGAGGTAGGGTTTGGGGGAGAGGGGTCACAGATTTGGATAATGTTTTGCCAACTGCTGCACCAAAAACAACACCCAGGATGTTCAGACTCATATCTGGATAACTTTCTTGGCCAGAGAATCTGAAGTGTGGATTTACTAAAGGATTCTTAATTTAAGTTCTCAGCTATGGCAGCCTCAGAAGGCAGCAGTCATGAGTTCGGACACCAGAGTTAAGAACCATCTTTGAGGGACTGGGGATTTAGCTCAGCGGCACAAGCACCTGCCTTGCAAGCAGGCAGTCGTGAGTTCGATTCCTGGTACCGATTAAAAAAAAAAAAAAGAACCACCTTTGAGTTCTCTCAACCTTGTCCTGAGGTCAGGGGCTGAAAATTGATGGACTTACTGGCTGCCCTCTCTGTCTAGACCAGTAAGAATGTACTGGATAAAGTCTTACCATTTTTTCTAATCTCTGTGACTAGGCTTGTGGCTCCACCTAGGGTCCTATAGAGGAACAGCAACTGGCCCAGTTGACTTGAGTATGGGCCTCATAAGTTATATGGGCAGCCACCCTCACTCACTGTTTCCATCTAATTCATTCCTTTGTTTCTTTTTAAGATAGATTCCTGGGTTTTTAAGACAGGGTGATGCTATGTAATTCAGTCTTGTCTTGACCTCACTATGTAGCCCAGGCTGGCCGCAAACTTGTGATGATCCTCTTGCCTCAGCCTGCTAAGCGCTGGGATTTCAGCCATGTAACACTGCCTGACACAAGAAAAAAAGTTTTTTAAAAAAATGAACAGCTGGGCACTAAGGTACATGTCTATAATCTCAGCTGCTGGAGGGAAGGCAGGAGGATTGCAAGTCTTAAGCCAGCCTGGGCATCAAAATGAGACCTATCCTGAAAACAAACAAAATCAGGAGTGGGGATATAGTAGAGGCCTGACCTAGCATACGCAAGCTCCTGGGTCTAATTCCCAGTATCACCAAAACAGTAATACTAAAGTCTCCCAGATCCCTTTAAGTGTCAGCCAAAGCTCTACAAACTGTGAAAGTGTAACTCAAGAATAAAGACTTCCTCAAACAAAAGAAGAAAACTCAAAGCCAGCAGACATGCATTAAAAAAAAAAAAAAGCTAAAAGAAGTTCTTAAAGGTGAAACAAATGATACTAGAGGGAACTACAGACAAGACAGAAGAACAGCAGGAATGGTAAACACACGGATAAACATTACAGACTGCATTTCTTTTGTTAAGTTCTTGAGAACATTCTTGGAAGTAAAAAAAACTACACGTCACCAGGCATAGATAGTAATCCCCAGAACCCTGGCACTCAGGAGGCTGACAGGCAGGAGAATCATCATGTGTTCACGTCTGATCTGGACTACAGAGTGAGTTTAAGGCCAGCCTCAACTAAATAGTGAGATCCTGACTCAAAGCAAATAAAATACAAATCTAACAAAAAGTATGTGAAGGATTTGTATACCCAAAACTGCCATATTCTGATAAAATAAACAAATAATAGATCCACCAGATTTGTACACTGAGATACAACACTTATTCTTCCCATCCATTACCCATCAAAATCCCAGTAGAATTTTTTGATGACTATCAAAATGACTCTAAAATTTACATGAAGTAGCAAAGGAACTATAATAGACAAATTTTGAAAAAATAACCATCTGGCTACTACAAAACTATGGCATTGGCAAAATGACGGATACATAAAACCAATTGAACAGAATGGGGGTCAGAAACAAATCTACATACACATCGAATTACTTTTTATGAAGGTGATAAAAACAGTTCAATGAGAGGAAAACAGCCTTTTCAATAAAAGTACTACAATAATCAAGAGATTCATATTAAAAGGCCTACTTTAACCTTACTTCACTTTCTACACAAAGTTCATAACTGATCAAGACTATGTATAAGTCAAACTATAAAACTTCTGGGAGAAAATCTTTGTGACTTTGCATTAGATGAACGGACATCACATCAAAAGAAGAAAAAACTAATAAACTGGAATTCATCAAACATAAAAGGACACTGTAAAGAGAATGGAAAGGTAGACAAAAAAAAGTAGGAGAAAATATCTGCAAAGAGTTTATATTGAGAATATATATTTTAAAAATCTCTTAAATTCTAGTAAGAAAACAAAAACTCAATTAAAATTGAGTTACTGCTTGGAGAGGTGGCACACGCCTGTAATCACAGCACTTGGGAGGCTGAGGCAGAAGGATCATTACGAATTCAAGACCAGCCTGGGCTACAAAGTGAGCTCAAAGTCAACCTGAGCTGGCCTTGCAAATGAGGCCTTGTCTCAAAAAGACCCTCCTTCCAAAAATTGAGCTACTACGGTTTCATTTATATGACACAAGAAAAATGACAGGGATGAGTATTTATTGATTCATTCACAGGCCGTGATCAAGGGTGGGAGAAGATGAGACTGAATGATCACTGCCAAAGGTGGAAATACTGCTAGCAATGGCAACTTTGGTAAAAGCCTTTGTGAGGACAGTTTGGCAAAAGGGATCAAAATATCAAGTGCAAATAAGAGGTAGAAATTTCACTTCTGAGAACCTACCACCAAAATTACACAAATACACAAATGTAAGGGTAAGAATTTTCAGTCACATTACTTGGAAAAACATTTTCCATTTCCAAATTTTTAAAAATTGCCTATAAATTATACTGTTCATACTTGATGGTATAGCTATTAAAAAATGAAAATACACCTATTTGTGGAAGGTGATATGAAGGTGATAAAAACAGTCCAATGGGGGAAAGCAGCCTTTTCAATAAAAGTATTACAATAATCAAGAGATTCATATTAAAAGACCTACTTAACTATACTTCACTTTGTACACAAAGTTCATAATGAGTTAGGACTATATATCACTGAGTGAAGAAAAGCATGCTACTGAGCAGTACACAGTATTCTCTTTTTCTGTAAAGAAAGTAACTGCCTATGATATATTTTAACATACAGGGGGAAAGTTGAGAATATACATTAACACTGTTCTTGACAGTTATCATCCCTAAGGACTGGATGGAGGACACTGTATACAGAGGTAGGGTCTTCTAACTTCTCCATAAACAGGTAAAATATTACTTTTATAATAATTAGCCACAAACAATGCATAGTTGAATAGCCTTGCTACTGAAGACTCTGCCCCACAAAACTGCAGCCACCTGAGAGTTTGTCATAAATGCAGAATCCTAGGTCCCAGCCCACGCCTACTGACTTCATTTTTGAACCCCAACTCCTGGCGTGATTTGTGCACATTATAAAGTTTGAGGAGCTACAGAGGTATACACCATTATGACAGTTAAAGCAACTGTGAAAAGTTTCATTTCTTAGTATTTTTCAGATTTGACTTGATTTCCTTCTATGAAATTACATGTAACTGAGGTGTAACTTTTCTTCCCTTTAAAGGTACATATAAATACAGAGAATTTTATATAAATGGTCAATAAAAGACTATATAATTGATGCTTAATCAGAGACATACTACAGAAGAGATTCTGAATAT